GGCGGGAAGCTTCAAGTGGATGCAATGGATGTTCTCACATGGTTGAGAAGACATCGAATCGTCTTTGGCACCGACATCGTCAAGATGTTTCGACAAATCAACGTGCACAAAGATGACTGGGACCTGCAACGTATTCTGTGGATAGATGAAACACAACGACTGGTAACCTTCCAACTCACCACAGTCACATACGGGCAGAAATGTTCCCCATGGCTCTCGCTGAGAGTCCTGCAGCAACTAGTCAACGATGAAGGTCAACGTTTCCCAGCAGCAGTGCCACCGCTAACTAAAGGGCGTTACGTCGACGATATTTACGGTGGAGCTGACTCCGAGGAAGAAATCAAAGAAATGATAATTCAACTTCAACAAATCTGCCATGCGGGCGGATTTCCACTCCAGAAGTGGACGAGCAATCACCCAGAGATACTCGAGCAACTCAACTTGTCAACGGGAACGGCAGGTCCAGTGCAATTCGAGGAGACAATGATAAAAACTCTCGGATTGTGTTGGCATCCATCAACGGACTCATTCCACTATCAAGCAAAGACCTTCAACTCAACGAACTACACCAAGAGAACACTGTTGTCGGAAATAGCTCAGATTTTCGACCCTCTTGGATTCATCGCACCAGTCATAGTTCGAGGAAAAATATTAATCCAAGAACTCTGGTTGCTAAAATCAACTTGGGATGATCAACTGCCACTTGAATACGTACGACGGTGGAAAGAGTGCAGGGAAGAACTCACGCAACTCGACCAGCTCTCCATCCCCAGATGGCTGAGCCTATCCCCAACGATCACCAACGTACAAATACATGGATTTGCAGACGCATCGACGGTTGCCATGGGGGCAGTCGTCTACTTACGAACTCAACGAGGCAACGAAACACCAACAGTCAACTTGGTGTGTGCGAAAACGAGAGGAGCACCACTGAAGAGAATGACGATTCCACGCCTAGAGCTCACCGCAGCCCTCCTGCTGACAAAAGTAGTCAGCTGGACTCAACAAACGTTGCAACTCAACGCAGAGATATACCTCTGGTCTGATTCATCGGTCGCCTTGGCATGGATCAACAGCCATCCATCACGATGGAAGGAGTTCGTTCACAACAGAGTGACGAAAATCCAGGAAGAATTACCAACAGCTGTGTGGAGACATGTTGGCGGAATTTACAACCCCGCTGACTGTGCTTCACGTGGCATATCAACGCTCAACTCAACGAACATCACCTGTGGTGGAACGGGCCTGACTGGCTAGCCAAGCCGCCATCAGCCTGGCCACAAAACACAACCAATACTCCAACGGAGGTCTCACTTGAAGAGAGACCAGCATCGGCTCACCCAGTGGCTGTTGAAGCTAGACAGCATCCATTGGCAGAGTTCCTCAACAGATACTCCACGTTATCCAAGGCTCTACAAGTCACAGCAACGATAAGTCGAGCAATCCAACGACTTCGCAGACAACCAACGCCAGACACGCCAGTGATAACAACGAGAGAACTCAACGAAGCGAGGATCTTCTGGGTAAAGGTAACCCAAAAACAATATTTTGAATCTGTGTTGCAGAACCTCAACGAGAACACCCAACTTCCTCGACAACATCCACTGGCCAAACTGACGCCGAGAATAGACGACCAAGGAATTCTACGCCTGGGTGGACGACTCAAAAACTCA